CACCGTCTTCATTTCTCAGATTATTTTGCTGCCCGTGCATTGAATCCTGGGATATCCTCGGCTGGTAAGGATACATGGACGCATCCTCGGATTTCGACAGGAAGTAGGACGCATTCCTCGGCATGAGGAGGATCCTTCGAATTGGGACAGTCCTCCGCGCGGGGCAATGACATATGCGGCCGACAAATGCGCACTCATGAGGACCCAGCCTCTGAATTGAGACACAGCCACTGTGTCCTGTTGGTTCATTGTGCTGTCCCATCAGTAAGGTGCTCTCCCCACGGTCTTTGTGTTCAATGAGAAATGTTTTTGTGAGTGTTTCTGAGCTGCCTCGTCAGCCTTTTGTTTAATAAATACCTTTTTGCCTGATCTCCAAACTATTTGCCTTTACTCTGGGTCGATCATGCCAACACCTCACATATGTCACCTTTAACTGATGGTTAAAGATCTGAAAAAAAAAAATCAGTTGCTAAAACTGCTTCCAAGGAGGTTCTGTTTTAAATTTATTATTCGGCCATGTATCCTGCATCCCCATAACTATATTAATACTGAGCTCATTTTGGTGTGGTAGTAGCTGACACTCATCCTATCTGCACTAACTGATCCAAACAAATCAAGCTGCACGGTTATTCAAGGTGAAATGGTTTGACTCTCTCCAGAAAACCCTGCAGATCCTCAGGTTTTAGGTCATTTCAGCTGTGAACATCATGTCCCCTTAATAATTCAGCTTATTTTGGATAAATTAGGATATCACTTCCCTGACATAAACTCAGGGAAGTAATCTTACCCACACAAAACTTTAGAATCGAAAGAGGGTCGAGTTATATTTTAACCTGACTGAATAAAAGCGGTTGACACGCCGACGTTACTTCACCTCATGACCTCTCTGTGCACGACTCTGTGAGTAAGCGTGTCCTCCTGCACGGCTCACACGGCTTTCACGCTCTTTAACTCTGGTTCTTCAGATTCACTGCAGCGTCTCCTCTCCGTCCCTCGGTTTATCCTTTTGACCCAGAAACGTCACCCTCGTTCATATTACTGAATACGCCGACGCGCCGGCGGGCATCGGAGACGCCGCTGACTGCGGGTGTGCAGCCAAACAACGAGGGGAATGACGGCGTGGAAGTTCACGAGTTGGTGTGTGTGAGACCAAAGGAAGATTTCATCAGCTGATCATTCCACTGATGTCAGAGCCTTTTTAAATTTCCCTGCAAACCCAGACTTATAGGTACAGAGCTGCATACAGAATCAGGAAACTGCAAAGATGTGGAGGAAGTTCTGTACAAGAGAAGGTCAAAGACAAATATTGAGATGAGAAAAAATCGTGTTTATGGTGTTCAGAAAGTGTCTTTGTGCTTAAAAACACAAGACGCATCTAGTAAAAATAAATAAAACTTTAAATTGTTTTTGCCCAAAATGGTTACAGTATCCAAGATGTTCACCTTAAGGTTTATTATTATTATTATTGAGCTCATTATCATTAATTTATTTCAAATACTTGTTTTTATCTGAGGACAATGGATGGGAATGATCTCCCTGTAGCTATTGTTTTACTACTTTAGACTTTTAGCTCAAGATTTGTTTTTTTCTAGCTGCTATTTTAAGCTTAAACAATCCATTTCAGCTTCTTCAGTAGTTTAAATTTCTTGAAAGTCATTCAGCATTTTGACAGAAATGTAATTTATCTAGTCGTAAAGCTTCAACCCAAATCAGATTTGCTTGTTTTTTTCTTTTCATTGAATTGTCCTAATTTGTGCTAATCATACAGAAATCACAACTTTGTAATAATGCTTTGAAAAGTTAAAACCATGATGCTGTAGACTCAAACAAAACAGGAAGTGCATCTTATTCTGCTTCTTAACTTCTCTGAACAGATCTGTAAAGATATAAATAAAACAGAGTGAGATTTTAAACTTCCTCTTAAAGGTGCAGTATGTAACTTTTCTAAAAATGTATTTTTTACATATTTATTCATTCTGTCACTATCTCCTGAC